ACACTCCTAATGCACCCCAGGATCCCACTGGCCTTCTTGGCAGCCAGGGCACGCTGCTGGCTCATGGTCAACCTGTTGTCCAGCAGGACACCCAGGTCCCTCTCCACAGAGCTGCTCTCCAGCAGGTCAGCCCCAGCCTGTACTGGTGTCTGGGGTTGTTCCTCCCCAGGTGCAGGACCCTGCCCTTGCCCTTGTTGAACCTCATCAGGTTCCTCTCTGCCCAACTTTCCAGCCCGTCCAGGTCACGCTGAATGGCAGCGCAGCCTGCTGGTGTATCCACCACTCCTCACAGTTTGGTGTCATTAGCAAACTTGCTGAGGGTACACTTTAACTCTTCATCCAGGTCATTGATGAAGAAGTTAAACAAGACTGGGCCCAGTACTGACCCCTGGGGGACTCCACTAGGTACCGGTCTCCAACCAGACTCCGTGTCTTCTTTTCTGATAACGTTCTTTTCGCTGGGAACGGGAGGATGAATTTCCACAGGAGCAGACTCCCGTGGAAATGCCCCTTTAAAGCTGTCTATGCTGACAGCATGGAGATGAGTAGACAGTGGGTCTCAGCTGAGGAATAGTACACTGGAGTACGCGTGTTGCCTTCTTAACGCTGACAGCAGCCCAAAGACGTAGCGCGTGCCTCATAGCCAGGTCCCTTTCAGCTGTGGGAGCAGGTGGATCTGGAGCTCTCTATATAGCAAATACCAATTTTATTTAGTTTAGTCAGCTTTTAACAAGTTGCTGGGCTTAATTCTTTATCCTTAGCGTAGGAAAAAGGAGACCCTGCCCGATTCCCAGTGGCAGGCCCAGAGGTTAAGAAGCTGGAGGACAGACTCCTGCTTTTTTTTCCAGTGCTTTGGCTGTTTATGCTTCACGTGCCCTAAAGAGCTGATAGAAAGAAGGATTAAGAGTGGACAGAGTGTCTGGATTTTGAAGAGCTGAAGACTCAGACCTCTGCAGTTGTAATTCTTTTTTTATCTTCCTCTGCTTATGTTTATATTCCCAGACTGGGTTTTAGCTCTTAAATAACAAAATGTTTGTGCAGTTACTGTGGACCTGCTGCATTGCTTAAGAAAACCTTATTGTTAATACCAGACTGATAATTCACCTTGAAATATCACTGAAATTATCACTGATAATTTCACAGTGCATGCCAGTGACGTTTTAACTTTGTTTGGTGAGATCTGACCAAACAGTGCCATGGAAAACTTCCCGGTGTCAACATAATATGAAGTGAAGGTGGAATTTCCCAAGCACCAACCCCCCATCTCTTAGTAAAATGGATTGTAGTGTTTTTACTGAAACTTTTCTCTGCTGTCTTTCCCTCGTGTAGATCACAATGAAGATGGTGCCAAAAATGCTATCTCCTCTCGTCAAAGAATGGGCCCCGGAGGCTTTTGTTATTTCCTTTAAACTGGAGACGGATCCCTTGATCTTAATTGATAAATCCCGGCAGGCTCTGGAGAAATACCGTCACCAGGTGGTGGTAGCGAATATCCTGGAGTCCCGGCGAACCTCTGTTATTATTGTAACCAAAGACTCACAGACTCCGTTATCTCTTTCCGCTGAGGAAATAGCGCAAGGCGTGGAAATAGAGGAAAAGATAGTGAGCTATCTGCAGGGCCAACACACTGCATTTATAGAGAAGAAAGCCTGAGACCGGCTCAGAACGAAACCGGTGAAATTGTACTAGAGAGGGAGTGGAGCTGGAGCGATTCTCTATCGCAGGTAAATAAATCAATCCTCAGCGGAACACGATGTGAAAGGCTGCCGTCCCAAACCGTGTAACTTTTTTGCAGCTCAGTAATGGTTAGTGTTGCTTGCTTTGAAAAATACACTGAAGCGAACACATTCCAAAGGATGGTATTTGTTGTGGTGTCTGAAGAAGGAAGGGATGTATTGCTTTGTTTCTGTCCCATGGGCTGGGAGAGTCGGGAGGTGGCGAAATGGTATATATGGCTGTATATAAAAGATTTTCTTGAATCTGCCTCTTCAAAGTTTCTTTTTGAATTGTTGGACAGAAGGAATGGTGCTTTGCAGAAAATAAGACGTTCCGTATTTATGGCTGGAGTGGAGCGACAGGGCTGGCAGTCGGCTGGTGTTGAAAGTGGACGGGGAAACCAGCGTGGCGAGAGACGGAGGAGAGACAAGGAGGTCGCGGCGGGCAGCACTGGAGAGCGCATCTGTTGCTGCAGGGGACCTGCGCATCAAGAACTCTGCTCAGAAACACGGTTCGACAAGTAGCTGCTGTAGCAGTGTCCCTAAAGCAGCTGTTTCACGAAGTTTTTCCTTCCATCTTGGGTGTTGGTAGGTTGCTGAGGGGGACGAAGGCAAGGAGCCGTGTGGCATGGCGCGCAAGCTCGGGTCTCTGAGCGTGGCTTGGGGACGAGGGGTTGGGGAAAAGTGAGTGTGGGGAGGTGAAAGCCAGTGGGGTAGCAGTGGTCAGCCTGGGGTGGAGAACTGCCTCGTGGCTCTTCGGATGGAGCTAGAACTGCGACTTTCCTGGCTTTCTGGAAATCCTCCTTCCATATGATTACCAACTTCTACGCATATATTCCTCACGCGTACAAGAAGCAAAGTGTGCAATTTTGTGGTAAAAAAACTTAACTTCAGCTCTGCCGCTGCCCATCGTGTGTCTGTTTACGTGCTTTCCTTGAAATAAATTCCCTGGAAGTCTGTAAAGAAAGACAGTAACGCCCTAGGACGCAGTTCTTGCGCTTGAAGCCTCCGCAGAGGTGAGACTGTGCTCCAGTTAAGACCACCGAGCATTCAGGAAGGCAGCTGCTTTTGTGATGACACCGATCACCTGAAAATGAGGTAAAATGCGGAAAACAAACCCAGAAGAGCGAGCAAAGAGCATGAGGATGGGCCCAGCAGGGAGCACGGGGTGCTGACGGACTGTCGCAGTGTAGCAGCAGTGGGCTGGCAAAGACAATGGCAAACAAAAACCTGTGTAAACTGAACGCGCCCTCGCAGGACTGTTAGGACAAAAGGTGGGAGAAGTGCACCCAACACCGGCTGTGGAGTATTTGGGTCTTTCTCTGGAAGGTCATTGTGAAGGAGAGCAATAATCTCAATTTTCTGTGGAGAAGAAAGGCTGGGGCATTGTCTGCCTCGGAGCCGGCACTGTTCGACTCGCAGGAGCACAGCTGTGGGCTTCCCTGCCTGGTGTCCCCTCCTCGTTCTTCAGGAGGGTGGCAAGACCTGGGCTGGAGGGACTCCCAAGGCTCCAGCCAAGGCGCAGCCATCGCGGCATGGTGTTGGTCCCGTTTGGAGTGGGAGGCCGAATGCTCTCCTCGAGAGCTCCCATCCCACCAACACTTGAAGCGCTGGCGGTGCTCGCACATCAGCCCTTCTCTCCAGGGATGCCGGTGGTGGTTCTGTAAGTAGGAAGCGGCTCCTGCAGCTTCGGGACCATCTCTGCGTCACTTACATCCAGCTCTGGAGCCCCCAACGTAGGAAGGACTTGGATGTGTTGGAGTGGGTCCAGAGGAGGCCACGGAGATGATCCGAGAGCTGGAGCACCTCTCCTACAAGGACAGGCTGAGGGAGCTGGGGCTGTTCAGCCTGGAGAAGAGAAGGCTCCAGGGTGACCTTAGAGCAGCTGCCAGTGCCTGAAGGGGCCGACCAGAAGGATGGAGA